ACTTCTCTCACGGTTCCATTCACAAAAAACCAGTCAGCCGATACGGCTCACGTGCGTTTAGTTAATTAAGTTTGTTACATACGCATCGACAGTGTCGAAGGTTGAGGCGATATCTCGCATACGTTAATCCGCGAGTGTAACCGCGCACTCTCTGAGTGATCACGCATTACTTCTTTCCTGTATGCCATTACTTCGAACTGCCTTCTCCACAATAAAAGTACTCGTTTCCGCAAGATTCGAATACAGCCTTGAATGTTTGCAGAATAAAAGTACGTTACTATCATTTCAGTTCCAAAAACAGTAATAAATATAGCGTTTGATATACAAATAATAAATTTTGCAACAGAAATAAATAAAAAAAAAACAGAATTTTAAAATACATATATATCTAAAATAATTATGATAAAATATGGTAAAATATGATAAAATAAACAAAGTTTTATTTTATTACACACTATTTTTCACATTTCTTTTAATTTATTTTCTTTTAATTTACTATCTTACGTATTTTTCGATAATATTCGCCATACATTCTCTATTCATGTAACATCTGCCAAGATTTGTTACTTTGTAAATATTATTCTGCTTATATATCAAGCTTATATATTTTATAGTGACAGAGCTTATATATTATAACGGATATAAAAGCTTATCTATTATAACGGATAATTTTTCAACGTCAGTTTAAGGCACTGATTATCTAATGCATAATCATATCGGGATATTATTTTTAATTTATCCCTATAAGAAAAACATAGCTTTAAGTTTCGGAATTAATATTTCACGGATCACGAAACATAAAGGTGTCAGCGTATTCTCGCGCAAATTGCATCAAGTGCTAATTAACTATATGTAAATTTATGTTAAACTTTCGAGCTGAATAAATTAAATAAAATGTATAAAAATTCCCCATAATTTTCTTTATTAATATTAACAGAATAATATGGATGTTGAAGAAGAGGATAGAAGGAATTTTTCCCGTCGTGGAATAATAATTACTTCGATACAATTGTGTCAAATAATTAGCAACCTTATTATTAATCTCGACGGTGCCTCGATAGAATATATAGGAGTTAAGTAGGATCTGGTAAAATAATTGATACGACTTATTTAAAATAAAAAAAGTTCCAACAATTTATTTAAAATATTAAGTAAGAAATAGGTCAGAAAAAGTTATTTAAAATAATAAATACTAAACAATTTTTCAATTTTTTTTTATTTTATATATATTTTTAAATTAAATTTATTTGAAATAAGACCGAGCTCTGGTAGGATTAATAATATAATTAAAGTAACTCAAATCTTCTCGATCTTATATTACATAATATAATGAAATCATTCTTGAGTCTGTAATAATTTTGCAACAACATATAAGTCACGCAATACGTTGAGTAATAAAATTTTCATTCGAAAAATAGTATAATCTCTGTAAAAATAAACTCATAATTTGAAAAAATACAATGAGTCAAATATACAAAGGTATGACGAGTTAATACCTTTTCTTTCACAATTCTTTATCTCAAAATCTGAGAATCATAAAGGTGCGTACAACACTTCCCAGCAAACAATTATCGGTCGAATAATTATGCCAAGTCATAATTGAATTGTACGCAATGACGTACAATTGAACCAAAGTAATAATATCATACATGCGAATACTGGCCTTGCATTGTTGCTTAGGTGTGTAGTGATGTAAAAGAACAGCGTACTATTGTTTTCGAAGATTTCTTTGATTGCAATCTCATTTGATATTGATGCGGCCATACTAATCGCTTGAATACGAAATTCAATGAAGTGAGTTTCTAACTGTCTTCCTACCTTCCATTGTAATATATTGAAAACGGGAATTAAAGTGAGAGCTCAAATTATTGAGAGTATAATGAAAGTATTGCCAATTGATTCTCTCTTTTTTTTAATATAAATTTTTAGATGTAAACCTTCACGTGTCTCTGTTCCTATAAAATTTCAATTTTTGAGACTTTCTATAAAAATTTTCTTTAAAAAAAATATAATAACTAATTAATGGTTATTGATTTTAAATAGAAATAAGATGCTTAATAATGTTTCAGCCTTTCTTAATTTTTACATGAAGTTAGTACCGTGTAAAAAAATTTAATATCTTCTAATATACCAATGTACAACAAATTAACATAAATTATTAATTTAAAAAACTATTCAGCATTTATATAATACATATCATAATGAACAAAAAAAACTTTAATAAACATAGGTCAAAGGTTTAACCATTTCAAAGATATAAACGATTTTGTATGTTAGTATTATAATTGACTTTATTATCTTTTCTATATGTTGCATATAACGTGAAAAGAGAAAAATTGAGATAAATAGAATTGATAATCTATTTAGAAGAATTACATGTCCAAATCTCCCATAATGCCCAATTATGATAGCTGATTGATGTCAACTAGACTTCCGATGAAATTTTTTATTATAAAGCTTGTATAAAAATTGAATTAGAATTCGTGATAAATCTTTATGTCATGTACGATAAGAAACCAATAAGCCAATTATGATACTAACATACAAAATTATTTCCATCTTAAAAACGAGTTGAGTTTCAGACTCACGTTCACTAAGGTTTTTTTTACTCACAGTAAATCAGTATGATGTACATATATTATGTATCTACAATATAAATGCTGAACGTTTTTTTAATACCTTGTATAATAATTTCTTTATTAATAAGAAATTATCAAAATTGTCTTTAAAACAAAATAACGTTATATTAATTGTTGTAACTTTGTGCAGTTTTAATAAATCATTTAGTTCTATTCTGCTTTTCAAATATTCGCTATTTTGTAATATTGAATATTTATCGTGGAACGCGTTTATTATTAAAATATTAAAATATTAAAAATAAAAGGAAAGTAGACTACGTTCGCATGCGGAAACATGCATTTTCTTATTACAAGCTCTTAGCTCGAGTCTCGAGTGTAAATATTGCGAAACAAATTATATCTTTCACATTCTACATACTCATATGCCTGTAACGATGACGCCTTCAAAAGCACAATTCTATTTGTATCATAAAGCAATTATTTAACTTCTATTTTTAAAAATTATTAATATTACTTTCAAAGCTTTCTTTATATTTTTGGCATACTTTTTATTTTGATATGACTTTTTTTTAAGTGAAAACAATCTTTCGGCTCGAGTTTAATTTACCGAAAAAAAATCCGTATTTATTATTTTTCTGAAAAAGATTCTTGTTTCTTCCTTCTTCTTTAGATTATTTATTGATCGATAATTAGATGTATACGTTAGCATTTTATGAAACTCTCGATTACTAAATTATTAGCTTTAATAAAATGCAAGCGGTTTGTGTTACTTTCAAGAGAATTTCTATCCAATATGGCTAATAAATGTGGCACTAAATCACTCGGAAGATTGCGTGTCTTATTAAATGTAGCTAATGCGCGTGATATATGTGTACCGATAGGAAACTCATTTTATTGACTCCTTTAAAACTGTTATGATAAATTTGACTGCGACCATCTGGAAGCCTGCGCAGTTGCATTTAAATTTCTTCCGCTTTGAAATATCATTACTTTAAAATTATTCCTGCATTATGTTTCCGTACGTGACACATAGTTAATAACTTTTTGCATTTACAGAAAAAACGTTCAATAATTATTATTAATTAATGTTCCTTATGGTTCTCAAATAAAAAAATATTCAAATTACTAGAAGAGTAAATATCCAGGATTAATATTTAGGATCTAAGTAACATGAATGCATATAAAGCAATCTATTTAAAATTAAAATTAAAATTTTTAGAATAAATTCTTATCTTCGTCGCGTTTTATGCATTATTGACTGTGTCATCAGAAATCAGAAATGTGTAATTTTATTTTCTCCTTAAAACGTTATTCAAATTTTTTTTATAAAGTGCAAATTTACTTTAAATCATAGCGACAAGATAAAGGAAATAATATGTGAAAATTGAAGTCTAGAATAATTTCTTATTTTTATCACATATATTTTGTGCAATATCACTTATGTAAAAAAAAAACATGTATTTACATATGTTCGATCTTTCGGTACAACATTGTGTGCTCGCGTTTCGAAGAGAGAACACTTGCGACAAAAAAGTCCAATCGCCTAATTTTATTGTGAAAACGAGCGCTTCTTCCCTTCACTTGATGCGTACGTCGCGATCGTGACGTGTAGTGGAAGTGGCCCCCGGAATAGGAGGTCCGGGTAGGATGGCACAGTGAATGTGGAGTAGAATCGCGGCATTACGTGCCACCAAGTAACGGAGCGCGGACGCGGAATAGAGCGTATCGCGTGTCGTCTCCGTATTTCACGTCCACGCAGCATCGAGGCTCCGAAACGGCGAAGAAAAGCGTCAGTCGCGTTTCGACCAGCAGACAGATCGGTGGAGATCGAGCGGATGTCTCTCATCCTTCTGCATCTTCTCACGAACGCGATTACACCTTCGTCGAAAGACCGATGACTGAAAACATCCACGGAGACGGTCACCGCACATACATTTCGGCATCTGAAACCTGTATGAATCTCCGATCCGATCCCGCCGTCGATTCGAATTGAACGAAATTACATTAGTCACGATGTCACGTAAATAAGTTATTCACAATCAGTGACGCGCGTTGAACAACACCGATCGGCTCGCCAAGGATGTTGACCTGGTAGCGGGTGTTGATCGACAGGAAAATCGCTCGCTTGCGGGAATCCAACGGTTGACGTCTGCACCTGACGGCGAGCATTCGACATAGACAAACGTTTTTTCGATTGTTACCGTCGTAGTCGTCATTCAGCAGTGATTCAGTGAATGGACTTTATGAGTGACCATCATTGTCAAAGCTCGGCAGCATCCGCGCGCCGAAAGACACAAGTGTCCGATGATGACAAATCGTTCTCCAATGGATCGCACGTGACCACAGCAATCTCCTATGATATCGTTTGATTGCCAAGAAGAATTTGTATAGAAAAGACCGGATTTCAAAAGGAGTGGCAGGATGCCGAAGGAGAACATGTGGCGGCAAAGGAGAGTGCCTGTTCCCAAGAGGTAAGGAGACTATCTCGGGATGTCTAACGCGATTAAAGGCGCCTAATTATACGCGCGTACGATTAACATCTTCTACGATGTTATCAATATTTATCTGCGCATACAGCATGAGAGTGCACGAAGGGATACTGTATCTTGCCGGCGTATATCCTTTATAACGAACCTAGGTATTTAACCGTTAAGTACACTGTGGCGACTCAATTTAACCAGCGATCATCTATCTTCTCGATCGCTGAACGAGGCTTTTTCGAGGTGTGTGATTTTATTTTATTTTATTTTTTTATAAAATTCAATTTTTTTAATGTACAAGTATTACACATATAAAAATATTCAAAATAAATAACAGAACGTAAAGAATATATTATCTCCTTCTTTATTTTCTGTATTTCAAAATTAAACATTTGAGAGAGAGAAAGAAAGAAAGAGAGAGAAGAGAAAAAAGAAAATCGAAAGAAATCTTATTGTTTATTTTTAAAATTGTTTTACACAATCTTTCTCTCAAAAAGATAGAACATTAACATTGTTAACGAATAAAATAGAGAAGAAAATACGAATATAAAATTGGATATATAAATTTCAGACAAAATTCAGACAGTAGCTAGGTTGTGTAATACTAATTTCTTTCAGAAAATAACATATGAATTCCGAATATGCAATGATCGTACAATTTATGCATCGCTGGATTGCATAATATAAAATTTAAAAAGTACAAGCATAATAGATATAAGTTAGAAAGTGAACGATTAATTTTATATAAATTTAATAGGTATAATGAAAACGTTACATTTTTTTGTATTCCTTTTTAAATATGAAAAATAATTACATTATTAGTATTAAATTATTCACCTAATTTAAATTACCTTTTACCGTTACTTTTAATTGGTGCAACGCAATGTATTTCACTATTGTAATTTTAACGTAAGTTTATAATTGATGGTCTTAGATATTATACGAGGCATAAATTTTCAAACATTCTCTTAAAATTATAAATCTAATACATATAAAATGATTTGAAATACATTTTTCTTAGAAAAATATAAAAAATTTTATTTTTATAAAAAAATCTATTTTGTATCGAAAAATTGGCCTTTCTGGCTGTATCACGAATAATAGATTTATTCTAAATAATTTACATTACATGTCACAGAAAGTAGATGACTACAAAAATATTTTATTTTAGTGTTCTTCAGATATTCTTTTATCAGTCATATGTACGTAAATGTAAGTTTGCGACACAAAATATGGACGTAATGACATGAGTGACTTTACATAACATTTTCTATACTTATTTCGTCTCATGAATATGTCATTACTTTTGAAATAAATATCAAGTTAGCGGCAAGAAAGGCATATCACCAAACATCACATTCAGACATCGCGTCAGGGTCGAGCTAACAAGTTAAAGATCTCGCGACCAAAAAGACTCTTGCGATAAGCTAGACATGTGACAAATCGATTCATCATGGCAAAATAATGCGAATCGCGCGAGAAAATAGTGAATGGTCGATTCTTGAGTGCTCCATGTCGTATGCAAATGTATGGTTTATCAGCCTGCGATTTCTTCCTGCGGTTGACCTCCTCAAGCCTCAAGTGCGCGTGAAGTCATAAGTCATAAACGAACGTTGGTGGTCTACATTGTAGAATGCGGTAAATAGGACTCCTTCCTAACAGATAGATCTAAAGATGATACTTTGTGTTCTCTACTTTCAATATATATCAAGTGTTGTAATTATTCAATATTATATGTATAAACATTTCACATATAAACATTTATATGTATAAACATTCAATTAAGAATTGTATAAATTAAATGTCTGTCAGATTTATAATTAAGTATATCAGATACAGTAAATTAGAAATGAACACATAGAAAATAAACACATAGTTTGAGATTGAGAAACCAATTCTCATTATTTATTTATTAGAATATTATGGATAATTTATAATATACATTTATTAGGATTAGATAACTGTTTATCTACATATAATTAATGTTGACTTTTTAGCAAAATATCTGTATTCTCAAGCATTATTCTCAAAAAAGGAATTTACCAGAGAAATATATTCTTTAATAAACGTTAGGTAATTCCTTATCTTCTTATTTCAAATAAATTTTTATTTGGAGCATCATTGATGAAATATACTTTTTTTTAATGATGAAAGAAGTTTATGAATTAAAAATTTTGCAACTTAACACTAGGAATTATGCAATGCGATAAACATCGTCGTTCCGAATCTTTCATTTATCTCGTGTTAATACAGTTGATAATTACGAATTCTGCTTCGTGAGTGATGAACTATCGTGACGTTTGCAAGAATGCAGATCCATTTGTCTCGTTTCTACGGCTCGTCCCGCGTGATGAATTTTGCTGCCCGATCGAGAAAACCGCGCGTATTTGCGATAATGAATCTCCACCATCTATAAATAAAAGTTATGAGATCCGTTGCGTAAATGAGGCGAGCAACTACAGGTATCGAAGAGCGGGAAGATGCGAGATTGCGAGAAGATGTCACTGCCATAAAATAGAGTAAGGGTTCCTGGATGATCTCGCGTATTCGAACTATCATTATCGGCCACTTCTCTCGCCACGTGGAATCCCGTCTGCTCGCATTTCCGACTTCTCCATGACGATATCAAGTGTTCGCCGCGAATGCACTTGAACGGATATAACGCAATTAAGTGTGACTACGATAATGCGCGTTAAGTGGCCATATAGAAAATTGCCCGCCATTCGAGAATATTTCCATTATAGAAAAACAACCTCCCCCATATCAACATATAATAGATAGCCAGCTGTACGTCAAGCATAAAATCTGATTTAATAAAGTATGCATAATGTCAGAGGGCATGTCTGCTTAAGTGTGTAAAAAGTCGCAAATTAACATGGGTCAGACGTGCGTACGCGTATAATTTCTTACCTGCGGTTAACTTTGAATATATGTATATGCAGATGCGTTTTTCACCTCTTCGAGAAGAGAATCTATACTTTTGAAAGATATCATAATTGATATCCGGGATATCCGGCACATATTTACCAACAAAAGCACCGAAGAACTCGTTTAACTGGATTGAAATACCTAATGTGCTCCGCGAATAAAAAAATATAATTGAAGAAGCAGATGTTAATGAAACGATTCAGTTTTATGTGCAGTTTTAACTGTTTCTGCGACGTAAATACAGTATAATAATCAAAAGAGAAATAGTGACGAAATATTATATTTAAAATAATCTATTGAATGAACGTACCGAGAATTTATGAAGTAGATACATTTCGCGGAACTTTATTGGAATACGGCTTCGGCTGTAGCGACGGCAATAATTTATCATATACGCGCGCTCGTTAAAGTCAATTGTGGTCGTTGTATTGCAACGAGCAGCATTGTCGGAAGGTGCATCGACCGCGATCAAAAGTTGCATTGCAATTTCAGCACGAATCTCTGCGCTGCCTCGCGGCTTTGTTGCGCCTGCCAACGTTACCACGATCCATTACAAAAGATTAAAACAAAACGCATGATCATTCCTCTTCCATAATCGTAAATTTTTTTTCTATGGTATATCAGAATGTAAGATCGAGTCTGAGAAAAACACATTTAAGAAATTTAATGAAATTAACAGTACAATCAAAAGAAACTTGCACGCGTCTGAATGCTCTTGAGTGCTTCAGACACGTTTTATTTCCTCTTTCCTGTTTCTCATGGATGCTAAAATAAATCATTTTAAAAGACAACAATCATTTTCCCGCAATTATATATTTATAATAATCTAGTACAAAACAGTGTAATAAAATTCTAATATGAATGATACATAACAATAAGGAAAAATTATTTTCTTTTCTTTTTTCGTTGTTACTAGGACACATTTTCCTATTAAGAAATTAAAAGATTATCGTAGCGCACACAAACATAGCTTATCACTTGCTTATTACTTCGTTTATTACCTTCCTCGACAACATATTTACATAAGATATTTAAAAGATATCTTATGCAACATATATGTTATCTAGGATATGATCTGCAATTTTAAAATTAGGCCACAATGGTATCAAACGATCTGACCCGTAAACCTCTTTAACCAACGGCACATAGATATCTACTCGCGCATTGGAATAGAAATTCCTAACGCTTGAACATTCTTGCCATCGGTTTTCGCTGGCACATTTCGCGAATCGAATACCTACACGCGATGTTCTCACCGTGCGGGACAATTGGATTTCCGATACGCGTTCGCTATTATGTACACAAGGTATATGTACACGGTGCTCTTTTATATACCCCGTTACGGTATATATAAACGCGTTCCTAAGAGCTTACGGTTCCCTTCTCTCCGTGTGTCGTTGACACTGCGTCCGCCAGAACGATACCGTTCGTTTCTCGCTTTTCTCTCGAGTAGATCTGCTTACGTTTCGTCGATAAGCCCGGAAGAGCCTCGATGAAATACTGGAGAACGTCCTTGTATATCCTCGAGGAAACTAGCGGCATCAGCGCGACGGATTATGGCGAAAGATAGTGATTTGCGTATACATACAAATTGCTGGAATCAAATTATAGATAATTTGAGAAATTATAGATATTCTCGTAACTCACGTAAAAAAATTTAATACTTGTACATGAGCATAATATCTTATTTTGTTTTTCAAGAGAAGTATTTTATAAAGCGTTACTTAATTCACATTAATTGAAATTCTGAAATGTTTTAATTTAAAATTTTATATGCATGATTTCAAAAATACGAGTGAAAAGCATAATATTATTCTTGTTTTTTGTGTAATGTTATAACATTAGCATGTTGCTTGTTTAATGTCAACGCTCGACTTAAAAAAATAATGATTGATTCTATATATGTAGGATAAAGTCGTCTATTATGGGATAGGTTTCCAATATGAGATAGCGGGATTTCTGCTAAACTAATAAGCGCATGTGATTGATTTTATTATGAATTTATTACTCATAGAGTGAAACATATTTAGTAGAAAACTCATCGTTAAATCATGCGTGTAGTGGTTGTGAAAAAAGATTCTTGAAATTGAATGTTGTCGAATTTTATTGAGGTTAGTCTCCAAACCTTGTTTTATTATATAATAAATAAATATTTGATAATAAAATCTGATTGCATTGATAAAGTAAGTCGCATTAATAGGAAAACACGCGATATAATGATTTGTTTAACTATAAAGATTAGATTTGGTGATCATGAAACCGCAAGGCATGGGAGTCGTAATATGAGATACTCAAGGCATTTCTAGCTATATGAGAGCATCTAAACGATTCAATATCTGAAAGCATATTGAACGAAATGTTAAAAATGATGATTCTATTGTTAAGATTATTCACACACACACACACACACACACACACACATTTACATACTCACATATACACACATCAAAAAAGTATATAATTATTATGTATAACATTCAAATTCTTTGTTCCTTATACGTAATATGATAAAAGTGTGTATAAAAAGTTTACCTTTATTTTTTCCTTAATTTTCTGTTTGAGATATTATATCATCTCATACAAGAAAACCTTTGTTTCTCATATTAGGAACCCTTTTTTTGAATGAACAAAATCGGCACTTTCGATAAAAATTTCACATACAAAGTATAACTACTATCGATCATTAACTTTTGATGATAAAGCTTGAATATATTTCTCATAAAATTGACACGAAAATAGGAATTAAGATTGCAAATTAAATAAATTACAAGTCTTTAAAAAAAAATATCTCATATTAGGCGATTTTACTCTATGTAATGTTTAAGGTTTTTATGAAATCAATAAAAACCTACATTTTAACTTCTTCCATCTTTTTTCTGTAAAAATATCTCTTTTTTAAAATTATTTGGATCTTGTCAAATCGCAAGAACACTAATTACATTTTAATACAGCGGACGAAAATTTTTACATTGCATTCGTTTCGAAAGGATTTCAGGGTTTTTCTCACGAAATACTTAGCATCTCGCACGGTTAATGTCTAAGATTTCCTAATGAGGCGTTTAGTAGACCGTAAAGCCATAAATTCTTCTTGTGTTTAATGAAAATATCATTTAAATCTCGGAAACTAAGTTCTAATATTAACTTCCTTAAATTCAGAAATTATAAATATTTGTATTTTCTGAATTATTCGATTCCCATGCTCTAATGCGACAAAATTATGCGACTGTTCAATGGCGGTGCAATTACCTTGCAATTATTCGTGAAATTAAATTATAATGATATATAGAAGTAGAATATTAACATTAAAAAATGTTAGTTAATGTTGCAATTTCAAATGTACAATTCCATCTATTATTTCACACAAAGTATACAAAATTGATATGAAAGTAATGATAATGAAGATTCATTTCACTATCTCTGTTTCTTTTTTATAGTTATAATCTTGACTTAATATTTATTGAATAATTTTAATATTTTAATAATTTTTGTATATTTATAAATATGTATATTCATACATATATTAAAGTAATAAAAGTCTTTCTAGAAATATTCAATTCCCGTGCAACGATACAAATATATCTAAAATAAGGATTAGATTGTATGGAACTGAAACCGCGGTATAGATAATGACAGCGCAACTGTATCAAATTACAGAATAAGCAACGTATTCGAAATCAAAGTTGTATGTAGGACGATTACATGGGATTCTTAAAGCAGTTACATGAGATTAAATATTAAACTTGGATCAGAGATTATACAGTAATACGTTCATGGATAGGAAAAAAATATTGAGACATTTAGAACGAATTTCATTTCAGCACAGCTCTTTAATCATGACTCCCGATGTGATTCTTCCAGGTTGATCGCTGACGACACGAGAAAAATCAATTATTTCTCTTTATACATGCTTTCTTTGTTAAGTTCGAAGATTACCGGTGAGCTCGATAATAAAAGCGCTTCGCGATTTACTATGCATTACATCGCGCAATCTTGGTACTCATAATCGTGGAAGGAATCGATTACAATGGTCTCGCATGCGCCGCCTGTATCGCGTTAATGCAACGTTTATTGCATTATTTATGATATACCATACGAATAACGACTGCTATCACGGGACTGATTCGCGATGCCGTTGCTATTGCTCGTGTATATTACACAGCTCGTTAAATGGAAGGGCTTCAGGGCAACAATATACAGAAAAAGGCCTTAAGTTAATAACGTGTACAGTACTTTCCTTTCCACGGCCTTTTACGTTTTGCAATTAATTAGTAACGCTTAGATACCACAAAATCGAAAGATCTTATAAGACATATATCACATTTCTTATCACAGTTCGGAAATAACTGTATTCTTAAAGACAGATCTTCTTTTTTCAACAAATCTGCCAGATCTATGAAAGACAAGAAGTTTCCATGACTTTTTTGTACGTATATGTATAGTTTAACATCACCACTTTTCAATTTAATCGTATTTATATAAATGTAAGTAGTATGCACAAATGATGCACCTGTTGCGTCGATTCCCGCGAAATTGAAGCGACCGTCAAGCTTCACGGTCGATGAGTATTCTCCAAGAACCAGGTCATACAGAGAAACATCATCTTCCAGACGGGACGACCAATTACGAGATGGATGGCTTCGCCGTGCCCTGATTCTTTCACTACCAACCTAGATGATAGATCAGCTTGTAATATTTAACTTGCGAAAGGGCTTCTCTCGGCGTTGCAATATCACTCCATTATTTACAAATTAAATTCTTTATTGTTTACAAATCGAACAGATATTACCATTTGTCGCATAAAAAAGAAAAGTAATATATTTGCAAGTTGAGAAAAAATGAATAATGCTAAACAAATGAATGAATAATAACATAATATTAATATAATATAATTAAATATATTGGTATAATTATAATGTAATGTCGTATTAATTGATTTATAATTTTTTTGCTTACAGGACGATCGAGCTGATCGCTTTAATAGCGATATCTAGTACACTCTTTCTTTTTCTACACACGAGAGATCTACATTCATTTCTGAAAAAAATGGAAGTACGTCTTCAACCGGGGGAGGATGATGTGCTCTCGGCGAATCAGCTCTCATCAGGTAATAAATGTTATATAGTAAAATTGAGACTAACGAATATTGAAATATCTTTCTATCTCTTTGTAAGGAATAAAAAATGAAATAATATGTTTGCGAAAACAAACGAAACATAAAATAAATATAAAAACAATTAAAAAGATATAATATATTTAAAAAATACAAATTGGATTAGATATGTAGAACATATTTCTCAATGCACATTCTAAAAAATACCGTAATGAATTACCTTATTATATATCAAGCAATAAAAATAAACAAATTACATATAAATAAATAAATAAATAATCATGAAAAGTATGTTGCAAGAAGTTCATTTCATCTTTTTTTAATGTGATGACAAGATATTTCAGACCGTTAGAAATGTTAATTGGAAGGAACTGATTATCTATTTAATTACACAAACGTGTAATAATGGCCGCTAGTTTCTCGGCGCCTGAAAATGAACTACATTGAAATTACATTCGTGTCGGCCAACGTGCCATAATGGACACGTTTATATATGCGCTTTTACGTGCTCGTACGTACTCCCCGAGGGTGCTGTTGACTTCCCGGTTGAGGAAGGTCAAGGTGTGAGAGAGTGAACGCACATAGGATTCAACGAGAGTTAAAGATGCTTATGCATCTCACTCTCATAGAACGTATGTCTTTTCATCATTAGTATAATACCTGGGGATTTCATCATTTTACATTTTTTAAGGATCGTATTTGAGTATTAATAATACAATAAAAAGTATTATTTGTTGACTAAAATTTTGTTCAATTCTTTATTTTCAATTGTCTCACTAATCGTTTGTGTATTATTATATTTTTCGAAATAAAAAGATTTTTTTTCATTATCATTTGTACAAGAAAATAACGAAAAAGAAACACAACACTTTTGATTCAATTGATACTTAAATTTAAGTATAAAATTAAATTTTAGTATAAATTAAAATTAAAATTTATACTTAAATTTTAATTTTGAAAAAATCGACGACAAATTCGCCAGGGAAATTGTTAATGATCTCTATCCTTTCAAATGTGTTACATGTGTATTGCGTAGACATCAAAAGAGTGAGATCTCTATATCGCCTCAATATCATACCACATTCATTTCGCGGCATTCGTAACGGTAGCAAAGAACTTGATTTGCTCGCAATCGCAGACTAATTATTCGTGCACCTTCTATCTTACGCTTTATACGTGGCAATCCACGTGTTTGCCGCGCCGTATTATTTATTACATTATGGCTTGCAATTATGTCCGGCGCCGCTTTATTATTTAAAGCGATGCAGGCACGCTGTCTCGAAGCAAACACGGATTATATTCATAAGATTGCGAAATACTCGCGAATTATTCCTGGTATTCGACTTTTTGCAAATTTGACAATTATGTATAAATACATTAATATTCTGCGAGAAGAATTACACGCTTTTTTACTTTTATCACAAATTTGTCAAATTTACAATTAGCAATAATTTTTTATTTATGTTTAACTTATATATTTTTAATTATATCTTTAATTAATTTAAAGAATTGCGAAAGAAATGTTTTTAAAATTTGAAAACTTCCTATAGAGATAATATTTTAATTTCAAACAAAAATTTTATGCATATGAAAAATTATAGTTTATAGAATCAAAAAATAAAATTATCAACAAAATGTGTCTTGCAATGTCGTACGAAAAACGGCCTGTACTTTCAATATATCTCTGCACGTAAGTTAAAAATGTTATTCGTAGCCTACATGGCAATTCTTCATATAAATTCGTCTCTTCTCAGAATACAATGATTAACAATGTATTATGAACTCAGCTCACAATTATTATAATAACTACTTGCATTACTTTCTATTAGAAATTTCACAATTGCAAGAGTAAACATTAGCCTCTCGTTTTTATTAAGCGAAAGTTAGAACAAATCACACACATTTTTGTGTTGCAATCGAAAGAAACAATATTTTATTCCTGTGTAACGAAGAGATTTCGATAAAAAAATTATGCTCGTGAGCAAGACGCGATGGAAATTCCAATGTGTTAACCATATCTAAATGTATTCGTTAAATCCATCATAAGAATCAATAAATACAGATATTTGTTGGAATGCATATTTAGATTTAAACCAGCAGGAACTAATTATCTATATTTAATTACATCTATATTTAATTACACATATTGTTGTACAGAAAAGCATATCAAAATCATTTTGCTTATAAAATACTCAAATCAAACCAGTTATGATCATCATAAATCGGCATTGATCATCTCACGAGTAGCACGTGAAACGCGTGAAATCTGTACTTTTAAAAGCTATTCACCAGTCGAGAGGAAGAAGCAACCGAGTATACACCGAGTAAAAGATAAAGGATGCTCTCCGGAGGCGGAATTGACCGAGCAGTTGAGAGTAGCCACATCAAAGGGAGGTGAAAGGAAAAACATCGGTGAACGTGAGCGAAAATAAATCAGACATGTAGTAATGCTCGCGCGCGTTAAAAGAAGAAATGGATTAATCGCTCGCGGCGATATAAATGGCAATGTGAATGGAAATGAAAGTTCAATCATTCACATATATACACTAGATCGTGAGGCGTTATTTCTGCTGCTATCGAGAAAGATTCGGAGTGAGGATGGAAAGAATAAAAAGATAAAAAGGTGTTCGAAGCCCAAAAAGCAATCGTTTACATTTCGAGAAAAGTTATTATTATCGGTGAGACGTGCCCCATCCATAAAAAAAATAACGCTTTTGCTAATAGCGATAGCTATTTATTATATAATGAAAAATTTTCTTATTCTTAGTCAATAAAAACATACAGAAAGAATATAATTCAATGAAAGGATATTTGCTTATAAAATCTCGAAACAATCAGACAAGTCGTAAACTAGTACCTACCTGGTATGATGAAAATAATAAAATACAGGTTTGTTATCTCTCGAGAATGAAATGGATTAACGAGATGCCTTCCACTTCTTCGCAAGGATGTATTCGCACCTTCATGGTGCGGCACCCTAACTCGATGTTATCGCAACTCGCAACAGCTCGTAATACGTCCGCAAGGAATGTGCAATGTCCGGTCTCTTCGCGTACAAGATCGAGATCGAGAATGATCTATGGAGTGCCGTCATTCGCGGAAACGATCGCATGATTTAATAAAAATTCAAAATACTGTGCGATTGTGAATAATCTTTATATGAATATGGCCCATTTTCTTCTTATATATTTTTTTATTATTTTTTATACAAAAAGCAAAACATTATTTAAAATATTGAAATCTGAAAAAAATAGATTTTTCTTTAAAGAAAAATTATATGTCGAAAAATTACGCACTTTTTCTTATCATTACATGGTAAAAAAATTTTCATACATTAATATGTATAAATATGTATAAACATACATAAATATTCATACATCCCTCTTTCTTTCGTAAAATTATTTTTTAGTGTAATAGAAATAACAATAGTAATGTGAAAAACATAAAAAATAATTAAAAAGTAATTTTACAAAAAAAAGAAGGATATATGAATATGTATGGACATATTTTATGTAAAATTATATATATTTATGAATATTTATACATATTCATGCATGAATAATTTTTTATCGAGTAAACTATTGTTAAAATCTTTTTCAATGTCAATATCCTAATTGACATAATATTTAATGGTCTATGTGATCAACATTGTATACAAATTGAATTAATAATTTTAATAAAGTGCATAATTAATTTGTATAAAATTCTAACAAAATTTTCTTTAAACTATTGAATACTGAAGTAATCGCTGTATGTTATTTTTTTCCATTCTAATCGTTCTGAAATAAGATTTTGTATGCAGGTCTCGTTGCCTACTTCCTTGTTTGTGTTTACACCTAATTTAATGATCCAACGATTTAGCACGGAATAAACTTATAACAAGGAATTCACATTAAGCATACGTGTAAACATAATACGGTCAATGATTTACGTTGACCTCGTTGGTTAATGTTTACTCTAATTGATAGTAGCCAGCCAGACATAAAATGACAATGCACATGGGTGAAAGTGAAGTATTTTTATACATACGCTATATAAAATGCATGTACCCGCTGAAAACAAAGTAGCTCGCGACTTCTTTAAAAGCTACTTAGTGAAAGTATTGTTTTATTGATAAGCAAAAGTAGCATGTCAAATTAACTAATTCTAATGTGGCAATAAAGTAACTTATTCAAGAAGTATGTTATTCTTTCGTAATTTATTCTATCGAAAAGTATGTCATTCTCTTGTATAGTCAGTTAAGCAAGTAATCAATCAAATATTAATCATTTATCAGTAATAAAAAAAAAATTGATAAAATTGTTTTGATATAAGTTTATGTATGAATACATCTGTCAAATAGCTTTGAAATATAATAATAATAAAAAATATTTTTTTATTATTATATTATTTTTGACTAATTCTAATAAAATCTAAATTTAGAGAAAGAAGAGTAGTAAATAATCTTAAAAATCAAATTCAATAAAGGTTCTCTTAAGAATAATTTTCTATGAAGAGAAAAAAATGATATGCGAGCGTACTTTTTATTTTACGATGCAACCATCTAGATTTAAAAAAATGGAACGAAATCGCCAAGAGGAAGTGCCATATAAAGTTACAGAAAATTAAACGCAAATTCAAGAATGACGTTCACCTTTGTTCGTCATGTACTTTCCTTCTAACTGTTGTCATGCAACGCTATTGTTCCGGTCACAATCGGTTGACTGCTTTAAAACAGAATAGGAAGTGATCCTTATTGTTGCATTTACAATATAATGCATATACAATACGTCAAGTTATCCGCCTAAAGAGTACGATTAAATTAGTATATACTATTTAGATCAATCATCGCCTACGATCATTCACACACACACACACACACACACACACACACACACACACACACACACACACACATACACACACATACACACACACACATACATGAGAATATATTACAATGATTATAACCTTTAACTCTTTAGATGAATACATCACAGTGAAAATGATAATAATGAAACATTACTGAAGCATGTACGGAAGTCAAAATGGTGCTAATAATTTAAAAAAAAATTAATTTAAAAAATCCATAAAATAAAGTTTTTTATGTTTACCAATTTTAAATCAATTTTTAGAAATTTTTATGTAGTATTATTTTTAATAATAATTATTTTGTTGATGTAAAACGTTTTAAAATACAGTTTTTGTAACTTCTGTTATTATATGTATAATGTAATAATTTTTTTTCTTTTTTTAATTAAATATATTGTTATGTTGAATACGTTAGCACATTTACGTTTCATTATGAATTCAATTAAATATCTAATATGATTATAACAAATAGCAAAACTTCTGTAAGTCAGATAAACTTTTATAAATAGAAACAGGTTTAATAAACACTGCACATTCAAAGTAGTACGGTAAATCCGGTAATTTAATCGGACGTAATAAAAAAATGAATTGATTTCAATGTAATTGACGCAGTAATAAATATAACAATCTAAAAATTTACAATTTTTTCACTAATATGAATTTCAAAATAAACAAATTATAAGTTTTTTTTAAATATTTATAAAGATGCGATAGATAGATGTATACATTCTTTAGTAATGTTTTTGATTAAAATTAAACTTATATATGAACGATAGTTACAAGTATTTTGTATCTTGGCTAGTAACGTATATTATAGTCAAACTGTTCGAAGGAAGTGATGCGAATAGTGTCCGTCTAACCCACTTCGAGTAATTTCTTTCTTGAAACGCATCAACGAGCTGGATCATGTTGCAAGTATATAATATACGAGTAGATTGTGCCAAGATGTATAGCGAGATGTGTTATATACATCTAAATTTTACAGACGACTCTTTCGCATAAGATTATGCTGAAAAGCTATAATTTCTTCGTAATTCAATCACAGAATATTATAAGGCAAGAAAATGAAAAAAGATGAAAATAAAATGGACATAAAAGCTTAGAAGTAAAAAATGGATTTAATAAAATACATCATATAACATGGTTCAATAATAAAAATTAAAAATATAAGTTTAGAAAGGCTATGAACCAAAAAACCAAATAAAAATGCATAAATAAAGGAAACAAATAATTATCATGATTTAAAGTAAATAACAAATAACACCGGATTTAATAATTTATTAAACATTATAATATATAGTATCTATCTTCTTTCAATATTTCTTTCAACATATTCAGAATAATGCTGAAAAACTTTTGAAATAAGCCTTTCTTCAATCTATCATTTCATAATGTTTATTTGAATTATTATTATTTCCTGTTTTAAAATTATGAGAATTAGGCAGTTGTTTAAAAACCAAAATTACATTTATTACGTTCTAATTATAGGGATGTGCGGAGAAGCATAGGCTATCGATATTTCGTATCAATATAAATTGAAATACACATATCGATGCGACAATATACTGATTAAAAACGATATTCGAGAATATCGTTACTTTTTTTATATGTTTTATTATATAGAGACGGGAGCAAAAACTTTCGACTTTAAAGAAAAATTTTAAAAAAGTCAATAAGTAAATATTCACTAACTTATCTATAAAATTATAAATATTTTAGTAAATTTATGTATACACAAATAGAAAGAGATTGATGGGAATAAAAAATTATGCATTTATACATTTGATATAATACATAATATATTTGTCATTTTATACATATAAGTCTATCAACTAACAAAGATAATGTGAAACATAAAATTTCTTTTAATTTTATTCATGATGGCGTTGATCGCAATGTCGTAAATTGTGCATCTCCGAATTGGCATCCTTGTTACATTTATACGGTCAAATTTTGGAAATGCAATTTTTGTATTGAATCAACGATTCTACTAATTGATATCTATGTTCTAGATCCGATATGCTACGATACAGAAACTAAAAATTTTGATGTATATTGAATATCAAAAGGAGTAATAATATTTTAAAATATCGATTATATCGATTATATCGGAACATCCCTAATTAACTACATGAATATTAGATGATTGAGTTAAATAACTTATTTTGTATGTACGTATAATATATATATTTCGGATATTATTCGCAACTTAACGCAGCTGCAGTAATATATAAGTTCTATCTAATCATGTTACATGGTAATAAGACTATAAAAGGAAAAGAAAGCGGACGTTTCTATTTTACTGTATTATTAGCACATGATGAAAATATGCTACAAACGAATGATTGTACAAACAAACGATTATACCCACGTTATCAACCAACATTGGAAATACCATTTAACTGTAGTTAGCAATTTTAGTTTCACTTAATAGAATTGTCGCCCATCGTGCGCTTTTCTAACATAGTAATATTAATCTCTGGTATAAGCTCGTGATTTATCGTTCAAATGTGGTGACAGTATTCTGCGAGATCGGACAACATTTATAAAGGACTTTCATTTGATTA